CTCTAAGTACACCTGTTTTCTGTAGTGTGATGAGCTCTGAAACCTCACTGAAACTCAAATAAACCATTCCTTTGCAGCTGATCAGTTAGCTGTTTTACAAGTAATCTTTTAAAAATATGTTTTTCTTTTTTTTCCCCACAAAGGGAAGGTTGGAGATTAGCTACAAAAACTTGGTCAAATCACAGTTTAATGATTTCCACCTTAAAGGCCTATTCAAAGTGTACCCACTTCTCTTGATTTGTAACATCTGGGATAGGCTCCAGTAAAGAAAAAGCATGGAGGCAGTTTCTCAGTGTGCTTTATTGATGTTACCTTAGCCATCATCAACAAAAATGGTTTAAATCAGATTACTGCCACTAATAATTACCAAAAGACCATGTACACAGCATCATCTGGAATTATTCCCTTGTACTGATCAACTAACTATTCAGCAATTTAGAAACATGAATGTGATAAGATAACCCCTTGTTCAAATTTCCTACTCTGCCGTGCATGCTAGAAAGCCATCAGAAACACCAATGACCATAACACTAAAAATGTATAATTAATCATGTCATGCCATCAGTCATGTGGCTTTGTCTGCCGACGCTACAACTAAATGGTCTCTCTCTCGGCCCCATGTGAACCCCTACGTCTGACACTTTAACCTTATTATTATTATTGTCATCATTTTTTTAAATTTTTTATATATAAAAGCTGCAAACTGTTTGTCCTGTCCTATGTGTCTTAAGTAATCTGTTTTGGTTTATTAAAATATTTTACTTGTTTTACGTCAAATTTTACAACGAAATGGTTTCTCTGGTGTGTGAAATCGCTTTTTTCCATTTGCACCACTGTTTACAAGTTTAGGTTCAGAGTTTAACAACGGTTTCCGCCAATTACCATCATCTTCAATGCTGCTGCCTTCAGTTTCAGATCCAGATTCTGATGAAGGTCTGTGCAAATTATAATTATCAACGCTGCTGCTGGTGCTGCTGCTGCTGCTGCTTTCCGTTTCAGATCCAGATTTTGATGAAGGTCCATGCGAGTCATAATTATCAAGGCTGCTGCTGCTTTCCGTTTCAGATCCAGATTCTGATGAAGATCCGTGCAAGTTGTAAACATCAATGCTGCTGTCTTCAGTTTCAGAGCCAGATTCTGATGAAGATCCGTGCAAGTTATAATTATCAATGCTGCTGTCTTCAGTTTCAGATCCAGATTCTGATGAAGATCTGTGCAAGTTATAATTATCAATGCTGCTGTCTTCAGTTTCAGATCCAGATTCTGATGAAGATCTGTGCAAGTTATAATTTTCAATGCTGCTGTCTTCAGTTTCAGATCCAGATTCTGACAGAGATTGATGCAGATTAGAGTTTTTACTCTTGCCATCTTCAGTTTCAGGTTCAGAAGCAGACAATGGCTCCTGCCAATAATTATCACCATCCTCAGTATCTTTAGTCTCGGTGAAGTCTGAAGCCTGTACATTAGTATTCTGTGGTAAACAGCTACTGTAATAAGAGTTCCTAGCCTTTTTGCTTCCTCTATCGTCCTCAGTTTCTGTTTTCATTCGTTTACCTGATCCTCTGGTTTGTGTCTGCGCTTCTATGTTTTTGAGAGGCGGGCCTTGATGAGGTTGTGGGGACTGCGGTTTCTTTTCACCATTTTCACTCTTCACATGAACAGAAGTGAGCAGAAACCCAGTGATATCAGCCTCCCTTATCCCATTAAGATTCCCTTCAACCTCTTCGCTATTTATGTGATGTTCCTCCTGCTCCTCCTTTATTTGGCGTTCTTTGTGTTCGTCTTTTAAGTGGCATTCTTCCTGCTCCTCCTTTTCATGGCGCTCCTGCTGATTTATTATACGACGCTCCTCCAGCTCCGTCTCTATACGACGCTCCTCCACCTCGATCTTTATACGATGCTCTTCCAGCTCCATCTTTATACAACACTCCTCCTGCTCCTCCTCTATACGACGCTCCTCCGGCTCCATCTTTATACAACGCTCCTCCGGCTCCATCTTTGTGGGCCCTTCTTCCGGTGTTTTCTTTAGCTGGAGATGATCTATGACCCGCTGTCTCAGACCAGCATTTAATTGAGGTGCATCTTGGGCATCTGCATTGAACACAGATGTGGATAACGGATGAGTGTGTGTCTACAGTTTTAATATTATTTTGAAAATAAAAGGACACATTTCTATCTTTGGAAAGATTTTCAAATTACAAATTATCCAAGAACAGCATTTATTTTATTAAAACTGGTGAAAAGGTCTCAGTTCCAGTTCACAGCTGATGGACCCAGTTGACAGTTGTTGTATTATTTACCTTTCTTTAGTTTAAATCACAAAGTAGAGAGCAGTTCCAACAGTCAATTGTAGTAATTTATGGATAAAATAATGCCCAGTCATGTGTAAGTTAGTGCCATCAAATATTAAGTTATTGTGCCATCTAATAGTTTTTACATAATTTTGTGGGAATAATGGTAATTTAATAGGCTACAATAAAATTAAAAATAATTTAATACTTACTTCTCCTGATTTGTGTTAACCCTGATGTTGATCGTGGAGGTACAAATACAACCATTTTGAGAATTCTGGGGTTAGGTGGTTGAAGGTTAGTCACTGGACGCATCCCCACTCCGTTTGGCAATCTTGGATATGGAAATCTGAAAAACAATAAGCCATCGAGATATTCAGAGTTATACCCCACAACGTGTGAGACTAATGGTTCTGTTTTCTGTTGGGCTCAACTGATTCAAAAACAGATACTAGAGCAGCCATGGAGTTTAATCTTTAAAATGTATACATGACTATATACAAAAACATACAAATTTGGACAAGGAAAGACTTACCTGTTTGCTCCACTCAAAGAAGGAGTGGCGCCAAAGGCAGCTGGACCTATGACTTGTACCGGTTTTTCCTTTGTAGCCAATGATGTCATCACAACTCTCTGATAGCTGGAGGAAACAACAGAAACATCAAAATGTTAAATTCTACACGATACAACTGCTGGTGGCATTAACGATGAGGAGCATATCAAGAGATGGTTTATTTTAAACCTACAACACTGAACGGCACAAATATAAATATAAATTTGTTTCATTTCATGCCATTGGTTGTGTGTACAGATGCTGGAAGAAAAAGTCCAAACTGACTGCATCAAAGTTTGTTAGTTCTGAGCCAGTGGCAACAAAATGCAGCATTACATTTATCATAAAACCAAATTAGCAACCTGAATATATGCAAAACATTTATAAATTTAGACATGGAAGGACTTGCCTGTTGAAAGAACAAGTGGTATCAGTGATAGCTGGAGCTGGGACTTGTGAAGGCTTTTCCTTTGTGGGCGCTGATGTCATCACAACTCTCTCATAGCTGGAGGAAACAACAGAAACATCAAAATGTTAAATTCTACATGACAACTGCTGGCGGCATTAACCTTCCTCTCTGACTGTTCCTATCATATGAATCAATCAAATGAAACAACATTTAACCCACAGCTAACACTGTTGTACAGATCAAACATCAAAACACACATTAATTTGTGAAACTCAAACCTTTTTCAACATTGATAAATACACATTTTTAAAATTACACTGCTGAACAGCACGAAGTTAATAATGTGTTTTTTCATTTCACACCATTTGTCTTAGAATGAAGTTGGTTTGGAAACATATTCAGCGATG